CTTTTATTTTGTCCAATTATTGTTACTTCTCCCTCGTTTCTTTTTAATTGTTACCTATACAATAAATGTTTGTTCTAAAATAGTTGTTAAGAAGGAATGGAGGCAGTACTAATTTTTTTTTTGAAAAATTAATGTTTGTTGCTAATCTTTTTGAAATTTTATAATTGATGTATATATAATTAAAAATTATAGACAATTAAATTTACAGTTACTTTTTATTTCTTAATTTCTCTAATTCACTTCAATTTGAATCAACCATGTTTTAATATTGACTTTGTAAGATTGTCTTCAATAAAACATTTCAAGAACATTTCAATCTCAAACTAATTAGATTATCAAATAATCAAATTAAAAAAAAAATTGTAACTTTGAATGTCTTGGATAACAATCATTATAATATTGGTTTTTGTATTTAAAAATATTATGAAATATTATATAAATAAAAAATGATACTCTAATTGACATAATCAATGAAGTGAAATCTTAATTTCATTTTTAAGCACTTTTAGAATAATCTTGACAGTATATGTAATAATTGATTCTATTGAAAAAGTTTTCAAAATTATAATCAATAAAAGATGTTTAAATGTTTGTGTTGTTATGTAACATACAATAATTTATATATGTTTATTATTTTCTTACAAAATATTACAAAAAATGTTATATTGTCAATTGAAAAAGAAAAAATTAATTATTAAATTATAATTAATTACAATATTTTTTTAGAATTTATGAGAATAATATATATATATATATATATATATATTATCGAATAAATGTATCTCTTTTTTCTAAATTTTGACTTTAGTCCACCCATTTTCTTCGATATATAAAGCTAACTAATATGTCATTTTCTTTTTTGGTCGATGTAGTGACTTAGATGGTACTATCTTTTGTACTCTACTAGTTATATCTTTGATTTTCTTTCGAATTTTCCGAAAAAGGTTTTTCCACCCAAAGTCAAGGGACAAAAATTAGGGATTTCTTCCTTCTCTCGGCATACGAGTAGGAGTAATGCGAAAAAGTCTTTTCTGTCGATCATTAGGTTAGTCTGACAGCTTTCCATTAGTCTTGGACTTTTCCCCTAAGTTTTGCAAACTCGATTGGATCATAATTGTTTGGTTCTTCACTAGGACATAACGAAGAATTGTAAATTATTCATGTACCATTCCCTTATTTCAGCCGAGGAAATAAAGTTAATTTGTTCAACTCAACTACACGAACACAACTCAGAAACATATCAAGAATATTGAAGTGAAATCAAAATATATCTATGAATCTAATTCCGTGAAAAATATTTTTTTTTCTTTCAATAGAGAGAAAAATAGAGATAAAAACAGATAAAAATGAAAATGAAAGAGGATAAAAACGCTACGAGTTCACATACCTTGACTTTAACGACGGCGAGAAACGTTGGCAATAAACTTTCGGCGAGAATCGACAGAGCAACATCCGTTTTGGGCTTCTTTTATTTCAAGTTGAATTGTCCCCGCTACAAAAATTTGTAGATCAAAATATGTTTTTTTATCTATATCAATATAAATTTGCTCGGCATAAATTTAGAGATAAAATCAAGTTATTCAACATAAGTTGTATAGTATATCTATGACCTAATTCGTTTCGTATAAATTTAAAGATTTTTGCTTCGTTTGGCATAAGTTCGATTTACCTAGCTAGACATAAGTTATGTAAGAATTAAGTTATATAACATGACATAACTTGTGGATTCTTAAATGAACTTGTCTCCTAAGTAGAAATTAAGTTATACAATACGACATAACTTGTTGAAGCTTTATAGAAGAAAAAAATCTGAAAAAAAGAAGAATTGTTTCAATTTTTAACTTTGAAGTGAAAAATTAACATAATTTTTAACCAAATAGATTATAAAAATGTCAAAAATGGTTCTAATTATTTTAAAGATTTAACTAGTACAAAAATAATTTGTCTTGAGTGCCATTCTCAAGTCTCAAACCTCTCTTCATGATTTTAGCCTAAAGATAGAAAAAAAGCTAATTATTAACACAGAAAATATGAGCTTTCCCAATATTGCCGCACAATTGGTAAAGGATGAAAGGCACAAAACTATATTGAGAAAATAACATGTGCGTACTATACGATGTCGATCGATCGAGAAGAACCAGTACCTTAATTACTACTATATAATAATATTTTTTTCCCACTTATATAACAATAGTTTTTTTTTATAAAATTAAATTATTTTTTTTAAAAAAAGAAACGCAGAACGAGTCAGCCACATTATCACATTATGGACTTACAAATTTTATTCGTTTGTAGCAATAATTTTATTTTTCTTGTCCACTTCAAAATACAAGAAATAATTATTCCAATGTTCACGTATAACCCAGTGGACTTGACTCCATTTGTCAGTTGAACCCTTCTACTCATTACTTTGCCAAATGAATACTTAAACTCAATGAAACTCTATTTTTTGAACTCCTCTGACCATTGACCAAACTTATGTGACATTAAATTGACTGAGTTGGACAACTACGTGACTACACGCGTTTTGTAGCAAGTGACTACAATATTTCTATTTTTAAAATATTAAAATTAACACAAGAAAACAATAGTAATATTTTTTTTAAAAAAAATTCAAATCATCTCACCTTCTTCTTCATCCCCACCCACCCCTTCTCTCTCCATCTTCAGTCCCCAGCCCACCCCTTTTCTTTTCTTCTTCTTCTTCTTCAGATGAGTACTCACCCACTCATCCATCATTCTTTCTTTGTTTTCAACACCCACCTCATTCTATCTTTTTTCATTGTCTTCTTCGATAAACAGTACCCTTCACAACTGCCACCATTACCATAAAAAAATATTAAAAAGTTACCGAAACATCTAACTAATCCATTTTCATTTTTATGTTCTTATATAAAATTTTCAAGATCTATTATATTTCTTAGATTATTCACAAATCAGTTTTTTTAAATCAAAATAAATGGAACAGGTCCTCAAGTAAACGTAATGGATAATGAATTTTTGTGTTTGAATTTTTTTTTGGGACAATGCAATTTTTTTTAGGGATGAGGAGCGGAAATGGAGAAGACGATGAAGTGGGGAATTGGGGGAGAGGAATTGCACCTTTTTTAAAGTTATGACGTGTCACTAAAAAAAATGGCGTGGAGTTCCACGTGTAGCTGCGTGTATCACACTTCCACAGATTATATGAGAAAGGGTTTAAAATATTGTGTTTCCTGGAGTTTAAGTGTTTATTTGACAAACTAGTGAGTAGGAGAATTCAACTGACAAACATAGTCAAGTACAAGGGTCTCTCAGTTCATTCCACCTAATAATAATAACGGAAAAGGGTCAAAATTGCCCCCGAACTATATGAAATAGACCATTTATACCCTTTGTTACATTTTGGGATAAAAAATGCCCCTGCTGTTATCCTAAGAGACCACAAATACCCTCAAGAGTTAACACCCCAATTTTTTGTTGACGTGGCAAGCCACGTGGGACTAATTCTTCCACCTAAGCGTTGCCAACTAGGATTCACTACAAAAGAACTAGAGCTTTAGCGGCAACAACAGTCGCCACAAAAGACCCAAAAAATCGTCACTAAAAGTTTTTAACATTAAATTCTAATTTTGTGTTTTTTTCTTCATTGTTTTTAAAAAAATCAACTATGATACCGATTAAGTAGGAGTTTGAAGACACTGTATGTTTTATTTTTATGTCATATGTAAATGTATAAAATGTACAATGATGCATTATATAGTAGGAGATTTGAATCGAGAAGTAATTTTTGATATTTTTCGTAATAATATTGGATGTTTTTAATATGGATATTGCAAGTTATTTATTTTAGAAAATTAGGTCGCAATCAAAAATTAATTATCATATTTTTTGTTGAAAAATAGATTTTACTAGCGAATGGTTGTTGGAGCCTTAGTCGCCACTAAAAATCACTCATAACCTTTAGTGGCAATATTTTGGGATTTTGTGGCGACTTTGTCGCCACTAATTAAAGTCAATTTCTTTTGTAGTGAATCTTAGTTGGCAATGCTTAGGTGGAGGGATTAGTCCCATGTGGCTTGCCACGTCACTAAAAAATTGGGGTGTTAACTCTTGAGGGTATTTGTGGTCTCCTGGGATAACTGCGGGGTATTTTTGATCCCAAAATGTAATGGAGGGTATAAGTGGTCTATTTCGCATAGTTCAGGGGCAATTTTGACCCTTTTCCGTAATAATAATAATAATTAAATGGCGGTCTTTATTAACACGCGGCATTCGTTTTCTTATTATATGTTTGGAAATGAATTGGGTCTGCTGGGTTTGGTCCAAATTTGGTCTGAAAGTTGAGTTTAAAGTAAGGTAACAAAATAACTACATTTACAATAAAAGGGATTAGATTTCAAATTAGGACATGGCCACATCAGTTTCAATTATGGTCAATTCTAATTAAGAACGTAACCAAATTTACTAAATTCGGCTAGGATTTAAATAAGATTAATTAATAAGCTTTTTAATCTTAACGAAATAAAGTAATTATAAACTAATTAATTCGAAAATATAATCTACTAACTAACTAATACTAATTTCAGAAAATATTTAAGTGAAACAAAATCTTTTTTGAGAAGATTTTTGAACAATGCTAACTTCTTTTCTCTAACACAAAATACAAATGAATAAAATTTAAACCCTTGACATGGATGGCCAAGTTGCTCAAGCTTCAAAGCATGTTTGTTTTCAAAGAAACTTTTATATGAACTTAGTATAATAAAATAAGTTTCGTAGAAATTAAGCCACATAAGACATGCCTTATGTTATATATTTTTTTTTTACATGCCTTATGCTATATTATGTTACGAAAATATAATTATTATCTTATTTTTTATTTTTTTATTATTAATGTAGATATTTTCAACTACTTTTTGTTGTTGAAGGACGTTATTCTGGGCCGCTGGCACATTCCTATAAGCCCATCGTTAATTGGGCCACATAGCCCACTTGTCCAGTTGCCTTATAAGTACAATTTCCCCTGCATTGTTTCCCTCTTTAAAGTTCTTCCCCTTCAGATTTGGCGATATCTCGTTTCCCAGGTTAGGGTTTCTTCGAGCTGTTCGATTTTCTTACTTAATCTATTGTTCGATCTTCGGAGATTTTTCAATTATAGCCAAAAGTGTATGAGTTTCATATTTCTGTATATGTATATTGATTTGTTTTCTTATTTGTGTATAGTTGTGCAATCTCAGCCATGGCTGGTGGAGGAAATTTCATTCATAGGGTCATTTCTTATGTCGCCAATGAATTAATCGTTAACGGGCTCTCCAACAGGTAGTTAATTCTATTTTGGTTAATGTTTCTCTGATATTGAGGGGAGGGGAGGGTTGATAACTTTGAGAGTTCATATGACTTCGCGTAATCAATTTCGTGCATATATTCTCCTGTAAAAGAACTGTCTATACCGTTTTGTTGCACCGCAATTTTTTCTTGATTAATGATCATATCATATGATTATTGATCAAGTCAAAAGTTCTGTTGTTTGATGCTCCAAGTTTGAATTTCTCTTATAGTCAATTATGTTTTTATATGAGGTAATATGCAACTAATCCATCTCTAATATCGGCCCTGTTTGTATGTGTATATACAAAATAAAACATAATATAACAAAAATATACCCTGTATAATCCCACAAAGTGGAGTCTGCAAATAAAGCATACAACTGAAATTAATAAAAGCACCTTAGGTGCCACTGGCATAGGGCTATACTTAATCCTAACAAGGTTCTGAGTTCAAATCCTGCTTGCCACAATTTTTGAATCTTTTCCGTCTGTCTAGGACATTTTCAACCTCAAAATGTAAAATTTAAGCTCCCTCATTGTAGGTGCAAGGATTCGAACCCAGCTAAGAAAACACACGGAAACCCGCCTAGACCAATTCCCCCAAACATCATTTGTAGTTTAGGGTGCCTAGTAATCAATATATACTGTACATAAGGTATATAAACTTGTATACATATGATTTTTTCCGTGGTTAACGGGTGCACATGACTCACAATGTAGGTCCGCCTCTGACCTTTGGGAGATGTGTGTCAATATGAGGAACATTAAGATGGATTTATCTTGTATGGAAGGTTGTCATTGATTTGTTGGTGATGCATAGCCTACAATGACCCCCAAAAAATATAATTTAGCTGGAAACATACTAGGGGACTCTGTCTGTTATTGATCTTTACATGTTCTAATATCGCATGCATGCTGTTGATGACTCCTTGGGCTTGTAATGATTGACGAGATGATAGCAATTTTTTTGCTAAAAACTCTCTTAACTGACTGAAGCTAGTCATTTTACATCTTCACTAGCAATTTTGTTAATATCATTAGGGTTTACTATTTTGAGGCTATTTGCGTTTATGGCCTTTGTGTGGGATTATTGTTCGATTCTCTTTGCAACATAATTGTGAACACATTGTTGGTGTTGATGTATGTTTCTAGTGATTGTGAAGATGATTGTAATTCGATATCTAAACATATGATGATCCAAGGCTGCCTGGTCATCTTCTTATCTTAATTTTGTATGTTTGTAATTGTTGTGAGATAATCAGTTTGATAGCTCAAAAATCTGTGTTCTCTTCATTATTCTTGGTGCCCTGTTGAGAAAGTAATCCTTCTTACAAGTATTTGTTTGCATATGATGCCTTTTGGTTTGACCAGAAGAAATATGATCTTTCATCAATTCTGGGGTGGTTTATTGTGTGTTGTCATATATGTCAATCTTGTGTTATAGTGCGTGCCATTCCATGTCTCTTTGCTATGCAACTACAAGCAAAGGCAAAGGCGGTTTTCATTTTTTTGCAGTTCTAACTAAACAAAGAATAAGGAATCTGTTAAGTTATGGTTAGCTTAGCTTTAAATAAGTGATGGCCTAACGGATTAAAGTCTTCTGTTGCCACTATTTCTTGTAGCCATCTTAGTGTTTTCGGAAACTTTACAGTCAGTAATATATTCTGAAGGTCAAACTTGTAGGAGATTAAGGAATTTCATATCCATTCTACTGGTGGGTACTAGTCAAGAAGAGAACTATATGTGTGAAATGTCTTTTTTCAAAATTTATTTTATACTGTGTTACATCTAACATCTTCAATTTACTGTATATACTTTTTGATTCTTAGAATTAAAAAAAAAACAAAATAAAGTCCCTTTAGCAATTTGGGTAATGCCTGAGATGTTATTTTCTGAATATACCCACTAAAAGGCCTCTTTCTCTTCATCTCAGCGCTAGTTTTCAAAGATTTGCTGTGAGGACATCTAAGAGAATGGAGGATCTATCTAAAATGGGTAACTATTATTTCCATCTTTTCCCTTGTTCTCGTGAATCTTTCAGGCCGTTGTGACCATTTGTTTTTGGTACTTGCAGCTCAGCAAAAGAGGCAAGAAATTGCTGATCAGGTGAAGGATGTGTCTAAAAATTTTGAGGTAACAATGCTAAATCTTTTTCAATCAAAGTACAAATACTGTTGAACTAGTGACTAACACTTGTTTATTTCCCAATTTATGCTTTGCAGTCTTTCAAGGACCGGTGATTTGGAAACTTGGTGTTCTCCACAAACAATGGAATGAATGTAGTAAACATTTAGCTCAGTTTGTAAAGTAGTTTGGAGACAAATGCGTAAAGTTACACTATCATTTGAGGATTTGGTATTGTATGACTCTATTGTGTTGCATTGTTTGAGTATCAATGCTTCATCCTTTTTCTTTTTCCCTTTGTGATTTCTGTACTGAATCTCTCTTGTAAAGATGCCCTAGTTGGCATGACAAATTTTGAAAATAAGCTTGGTTACAAAAATTTCGAAATAAGGTGATCGCAGGAAGTAGCTAGTAGTGGTGATGGTGCTAGCAATAATCGTTAATAGTTGTAATTGATCGTGGTGTTGATGATGCTAGCCTAAATTGAAGTTCAAAGTAATCTTCATTTTCTTAACTCAATAATAGTGGTAACAGTAAAATTATCTTTTGTAATTTTACAAGTAAAATCCGAGATGGATAACATATGCAGAAATTTTACACCTAATTTTAAGGTTTGATGTAAGGTTAAAAAAAGTTAAAATACAAATCGCTCAATAGTAAAAGAAATACACATTGTCAGTCAAAAATAAAAAAAAACATCTCGCTTAAGGTTACGCGATTTATTCATTATGGTTGATCATCAACAAAACAGGTGGCTATTTGTGCATTTTAGAGGGAAAAAATGATCCTTTTGGCTTCAAACTCGTAGCATGTTTATATTATTAAATAAAGAATCTTTATTTTGTAAGTATGGTCAAGTACATTGATATTGTTAACGTGCGTGAGAAAAATAAGGTTGAAATTGTGAAAGAGAGATGAGGAAAGTAAGGTTGAAACGGTAAAAGAGAGTTGAATGGAAAAAAAGATATTCTATATCTCCAACTTATTATATTAGTCTTGTTGTACCTTTGAACTCTTCAATTAATTCAGAATTATTTGAGTCACACAATGTTGTGTCTAAAAATAAAGCAAAGCAAAGTGCATAACAAAGTAATAGCCATCTGACTCATGTTTTCTAAAGGGGATAAAGAATTAAACTACTAGATCGGTGGAAATTATATGACAATAAACTTGAGTTTTCTTTAAGAAATTGAGACAATAACGTCTCAATATGCGGAATATTTAATTATTTTTCTTCTTTTTTATTACTACAAAAAAAATCAAAATCGAGGACCAAAATTGACAAATAACCTCAATTTTTGCCTAGAACTGACCCAAAATCAACAAGCTCCACTATGCCAAAAAAATAGTGAATCGATTTCCTAAAAATAATAACGAAAAACTCCGTCTTTCAAAAATACATATTAAAATAAAGTTGAAGGGAATAAGTAAACAACGTAATCCACGACCAAAAAAAAAAAAGCGAAAAAGAAAATACTGTTTATTTTATTTATTCAATATTTCAAGAATAAATTTTAAGTTTTACTTGCTACTTTTAATAAATTCAAAAAGATAATTATAATTTATTTTTTTCATAATTCACCTCATTAACTACTTATCTAATGAGTACCTTACTTCAATTAATATATTTATTACGTTCATGTAAACTACTTTTTTCCTCCAAATATCAAAGTATTATTTCATATATATACGTTTAAAATTCAAAGCGGACAACTAAACATTATAAGGTCCACTTGTGTTTCCGAATAAATTAATGCAGTACTAACCACCATTGAATATGGGGAAAAAATCCCCTAGCAAAAGAGTGCTCCTCAAATAGGTTATGAGAATTTGAATTTAGTAGAACTTCAATTTAAATAACTTAGATAAAATCATAAAAAAATTATTTTTTTGTGCTTAATTATTTGACCACTTTTGAATTGGCACATCTATTAAGAAAACAATTAATGACATAGTGAGTTTACCATTTTACCCCTATTAATTATGAAGTAGATGAAAAGTCCTACATTTTTCAAAGTAATTAGTCATTTAATTGAAGGTCTAATAGGTAAAAAAAATTTAACCTTTTTTTATTCATAAAAATAGACAAGTAATTAGGAAAAATTATAAAAGAAAAAATGAACAAATAATTAGAGACAGAAAGAGTAATATACAATACAAAAAGTTAAAATGACGCGTTCAAATAAAACTTTAATATCTCATAATTTCATGTTATAATTTCTTATGGTTTGACCAAACGGCCCTAAATATTAGTGCTAAATATTAGTGAGTTTTCGAATCAAGATCTAATGAAAAGTAAAAAGAAAGAATAAATTTATGCAACGTCATCACGTTTCTCATTTTTCTCCACTGAAGCAGAGGAGAAGGTCGTTACCCAATAAATCTCAATAACGGCGGCGTTTATACTTTCTCATTCTGCTTCATCAACTTCAATGGCGGAAGAGAATTCAAGGAGCAAGAAAACGATTCCACCGTATATGAAGGCCATTTCCGGCTCATTAGGTGGAATCGTTGAAGCTAGTTGTTTGCAACCGATCGACGTTATCAAAACCCGGCTTCAACTGGACCGGGCCGGTGCTTACAAGGGGATTGTCCACTGCGGTTCTACCATTGTTAATAACGAAGGTGTAAGGGCTTTGTGGAAAGGATTGACGCCATTCGCTACTCATTTGACTCTCAAGTATGCGTTGCGTATGGGTTCAAATGCGGTTTTTCAGACAGCTTTTAAGGACTCGGAAACGGGTAAGCTTAGCCCGCAGGGTCGGTTGATGGCTGGTTTTGGTGCTGGCGTGCTTGAAGCTCTTGTTATTGTCACGCCCTTTGAGGTTTGTTGATTTCCATAATTTCTTGTGATTTAGTTGTGATTGATTGGAAACTAGTTGAATCTGCTATATATGCTCATAACATGTTTGTTTTATTTTCTGATCTAGTTAATTAGTGTAACTGTGGAACCCAAACAAATCCTTTTTGACAGTAGATACTTTTCTTTTTTGAGAATCATGGTGTCTGGGCCAGCTTGCACGCAGTGCCACCAGCAACAGGTACCAGATAGCTAGATGGAAAGAAATCAACCTAGCGTTTTTATCGGATTAATAGATCAGTTGAGACTATTCAATCACATGAATTGATGATTTAGCTTTTTTCCTGGGTGAGATTGCGTACTGACAATAATAAGGAGATGATTTAGGACAAAGAGATAAGTAAAACTAAAACTAACAGCTTGAAGTACGACACGATGATAAGTCGACAACAAGGAGGTGATTAAGGACAAAGATTTAAGTAAACTAAAACTATGTAAACAACACAGCCAAAATGGAAATTAGTTGTCTTTATCTAATACTAAAAAGATAAGAAATGATTACTGTGTTTGCGGAGAGAATGTGACTATAAAGCATTTACTCCTTGGATTGTCGGGTCTAATTATCGTGTCAATACTAGTATACATGCTCTACATGCAGAAATGATTGTTGTTGGAGTGATAGCGGGTGTATGCATTCTGCCTTGTCTGAAACAGAGTGATTTGGCTAGAGCCGAGGGTAAAAAACTAACATTCGTTTTGGACTAAATGCTGCTCATATTCTTCCCTGTCTGCTCAATTCATATTTTTATTTTTTGTTTCTTCCAACAAGGAAAAAATAAATGTAGGGTCAAAATATCCCTTTAAAAAACCCAAATACATTTTCTCCTTTAGAATGGATTAGGGGTCTTTGTCCTGCCTTCTCCAAGAGCTGAGGTGATGTCTCTTTCTCATGTACACTCAACAATGACCGCGCTAAGGATGACTTAAGTTCTCTTGATTATCATTCATTATCAAACAATTGACTTCATCTCCAATTTAGACCCAACTTTTGTTTACATAAAACTTTTAACTCTGACCTCAAAACAGAAATTAGGTCAATTAATTGAATGATATACTTGAAGAGTTTATCCACATAGTGGAAGAGCATTCCAATTATCCATGATTTCCGTTTCAAACAAAGCCATGAATAATTTGACATAGACTGAGTGATAGATCTGATGTGGTTAAACATTTACAGGTTCTGTGGACACTATAAGTTGTGACCTTAGCTGACTTTGTGTGGTTTTACAGTTGATCAAGCAAGCTTTGCCAAAAGATGGCCAATTTTTCTTAGTTAGGTAATTGGAACAATTTTCTAAGGGAAGTGGCTTGCTTCAAAGGAGAAAAAAAATGTATATTAGGATAGATGATTTCTCCAAGGCTTTGGTCTAGTGGTAAGACTGGGTGCAGCAAGTGATGTGTGAGTAAGGTGTACGTCATGGTTTCATACCTTACTGTAGACAAAAAATTTGGTATTAGGGTAGAGGGGTGGACCTATTATCCATCGAATTTCTAACCATGCGCCACTGGTCCATTGGGGTTATCTCAGTTATAAAAAAAGAAGATGATGATAGTAAGGTTCTGTTAAGCTTGATCATTCTTATTCAAAAAACAGGGATTTTGTAGTTCTACTATGGACTTAGTAATTGTAATATTAATATATGTACTAGGAATTTTGTAGTTCATTCAAATTAATGGATATGCACAGGTTTTTTTTTTTTTTTTTTTTTTTGAAATAGGCAACTTTGATGCACAGAATTATTAGCAGTTCTACTTTATTGTTTCTGATTAGTGTTGATCATCAACTGTCCATTGAATTGAAGGCGGTCCTTAGCTAGCGCAGGGTTAAGGGGAGAGTGGGTGTATACCATACTTTGTCTTCTCCTTGGGTAAGATAGGTTGGACCAGTCAAACGGGACTAGGAAAAAGTGCTCTGGAGTATCACTTCACTAGTTACTAGAGTGAGAAACCAAAGTCAAGATATGGTTATGCACCTGTGGTGCTTTATCTAGAAAAGATATTGGTGCAGCTCTAGAGAAGGATGTTGGAGTAAGAATACTAGGTTGGATTAGATATAAGTTAGAGGAGGAGATAGAGTAACATTGTTGAGCTGAAAGGTTATGCCATGATTACAACTTACAACACAACAAAGAGCACAAGAAAATTAAGTGCTGCAGAATACAGTGGAAATTAAATGCTATCTCAAAATGTTGAGCAATTCAAGATAGTGCTAGATGGAGAAGAATTAGGGAGTGCAACACAGGACTAATTTGTGGATTTTCCACATAATGTTCCTTTTAGGTGGCAAAAAGTACCATTCATTTAATTGTTAGTCGGTGAAGACTCCTATAAATAGCGTGGATTTGTGACATCTGGTGATCTTTTATGAGAAAAAGAATATGATATGAGAAGCAATAAAGTGAGTGGAGAGGGCCAATGCATTTATTGTACAAGGTTATGTTAGCCAAATCTTTCAAATTCAAGAAGGAAGTAGTGAAACGATGATCAACGGGTAATTCCCCTCTCTTCCATTTAAGTTTCATAGTGG